AGTCTGACGCTTAACCAACTGAGCCACACAGGCACCTCTGTGATTGTTTATATTTTTTAAATAAACATTATTTTAGGGGCACCTGGGTGGCTCAGTTGGTTAAGCGTCCGACTCTTGGTTTCAGCTCGGGTCATGATCTCATGATCTCACACTTCGTGAGTTTCAGCCCCACATCGGGCTTTGCGCTGACCATGCAGAGCCTGCTTGGGATTCATTCTCTCTGCCCTTCCTTCACTCTCTCTCTCTGTCTCTCTCAGAAATAAGTAAATAAACTTTAAAAAATAATTTTTTTAAATAAACATTATTTTAGAAGTAAATCAACCAGCTTGGCCTCATCCTGAACAGTATTTCTGAAATTGCCTGTTTAATGTGGTTTTTATACTTGATGCACTCTTTTATTGTTACAGTTTTTATAGTACACAATCAAATAGGTTATTAACATTATAATGTGATCTAAAAATCAGTTCAGGTACTTATCATCAATGATGTATATATCACACTTAGAAAATATTATACTGTAAATTATGTCCCTTTGTATTATGATAGTTTTACATATTAAAGATATTAGTCCTTCATCTGTTGGATATTTGCACATATTTTTCTCAGCTTTTCATTTTCCTTTAACTTTATGATTTTTTTTGCATTTTTGTTTTTCTTCTGTTGTCCACCTGACATTTTTTCTACCTAACATAAACTGTTTTTATTTTTTTAGTGTTCTCTTTTTAGTATAGCTTTTTATTTTTTTAATACATTTTTTTTTAGTATACCTGACACCAATGTTACATTAGTTTCAAGTGTACGACATAGTGACATAGTGACTCAACATCTCTATACATTATGCTTATGTTCACCACAGCTATACGTCTGTCACCATACAACACTATTACAATACCGTTGACTATATTCCGTTTGCTATACCTTTTATTCCCATGACTTTTTGTTTTGTATCATGGTTTAGGCACTCCTTAGCTATCTCAAAATTATATATTTACCCATGTTCTTCAAATCTTTTCATTCATTACTAGTTTTAAATTTTGATATGAAATGGGAACAAAATTGTATTTATTTCCCCAAAATGTCCCAACTCACCCTTTACTCACTTATTTAAAATGCCACTTTTATCATTTATTAGAATCTTGTATCTGCTTAGGTGTGTTTCTATACTTGTCTTCTCTCCCAGGGATCTGTTTCTATGGTAGCACCAAACTCTTTTTAGTTAATGTAGCTTTAGAATATCTGTAATATCTATTTAGGCAACACCACTTTCACTCCTCTTTTCCAAATTATTGTTCACATTCTCAAGTGCTTATTCTTTTAGGTGAATTTCAGCTATTGAGTTTTTCATATAGTTCCGTAAGGAAATTTGATTGGGATTATGTTAAATGTATATATAAAAAGGAGAAAGGTATCTTTAGATATTTTTTATGGTATATGTAGCATTCACTATGGTAGTCAAGGATAGTTATTTGATAGTGTCACTGACTACACTGGAAATTCATTCACTGCAGACCATCTTCATATTAATAGTCTTCATATTCTCAGTGCCTTGTATTCAAAATCTTGCATGAGTCAAATGACTAAATATGCATATGTTGGAAGGTAAGTGGATAAAGAATGGCTATTATAGAAAATTTGCTTGCATTTTGACTCAGACTTTTTAGACAAATGGAAAATATTCCCAACTGTCGAAGAGTGAAAAACATGAGGGTTAATGCAATAAGGACTTCTATCACCATAAAACTAGTATTAAAGTACACTAGTAAACTGGTTTTTGTTTTTCAAAATTTAATTCTCATAAGAGGTCTTATAAAATTTCTCAAAAGTGTTTATGCTGATAGAGTTGTGAATGGGGTGGATTAGTTAAAAGTCTAAATGACTACCCAATTACCAGTTTCAGTTAACTTTAGTACATAAAATGACCAGCTTATTCAGAGTTTTTAATATAGCTACACAATTTGGTAAGATTTCAAAATGAAGCTCCTAAAATACCATCTATTCTTTCAAAAACTGTGACCATTATTCTACCTTAACAATAAAAAAATGAGTACTAAAGAACAGTGCAATTGTTGTGAGAAAGGTCCACATAGTCTACTTTTTGTAAGTGTGACATATCTACCACCAGATAGATCATTAACAAAAAACAATTGAACTTATTTGATAAAAATAAAATTCAGTTTATAAGGAATGGTGATTTAGCGGTTTTACTTTGGGGAATTATGGGGGAAAATGGGAATTATGCTTAACCAATGATTTATGCAGTCTTTCAAAAGATAACAAGTTCATTTAAATTTCTCTGTAAAGTAAAGTTTAAGCAGATTTGGAAGTAAATTAATGGAAATATCTGTTTAAATGAGCTAAGATTCATAAAGCACCAATATTTGTAAAACATTGCCTAACACATAGCATGAGGCAATTCAGTCAGTCAATCAGTCTGTCAGATGGGCTCTACTAATTTAAAAACATCTCCTGTTTTAAAGTTATACTGGGTAATTAAGCCTTTATTTTGGCATTTGTGTACATGAATTACCAAATCTCCCTTCAATACTTTTTGTATTCACTGTGCTGGGAAGGCCCCCAAAGAAAAAGAAAACGTGACTCCTATACTTAGTACAGTTAAAAAACAGGGAAATATGATTTAAGTGTTATAACAACGTTTCGTTTATGTATCTGGTGTATGATGATTGAGAGAATTAGGCAAATGATAAAATATTGACATTTCTAATATTTTAGTACCTCAGTGTTCTGTATGATAGTCTCCTATTGTTTTTCTCAATGTGCAAATCAAGGCAGAAATTAAGGAACTTCAGCATTATAGGTAATATTCTCTTTTTTTTAAGCTGTGTGAAGCGTGCATAAAAGTTTGTTATTTTGCTTTTATAACTTACATACATTGTATATTGTGCACAAATCAACTATCTTGTAATAAAAATTATGTAAGAAATTGTGGGGGGGGAAGCTGTTCCCCAAAATGCCAAAAACTAGTTAATTTATTCTTTATTATAAAATTGTTAAACTTGTCCACACAAATATTTTACATTATAACAAATAATTTACTACAAAAGAAACATTTTTGTCATGTAAAAATAAACATTAACCTTAGAGTTAAAAACTGAGTTAGTACACTTAGAAAAATGAAAAATTAAAAAATAAGTATAACAAAGTACTCATTCGTTTTTATCCCCTTAGGATAGTGACCATTACTATACAAGTTGTTTCTAATAAATTTGAGTTATTGTTATCTTTTCTGAATACACATACTTAAATTTTGATACTTAACAAAACATATTTGAAAACATTAGTTGTAATTATACTCTTAAGTGTAATTTACATAGTATAAAGTATTAGTACTTTTTTCTTTTTGGAAGAATCAGAATGGATCATCAATACACCACTGTGGCCTTGTGATAGACTGGATGTACTCAATCGACATAATCTGCTCTGTACAATTGCACATGAAATCTTAGCCAAGAGCCTTTATAGACAGACATTTGAAGTTTTGCAAAATCTACCAGGTTTTCAAAATTCTCAAGGTATGTTTTTTAAAAGCCTCAATTCTAATGTCCATCTGGTGTTTAAATAAGAAACCATTCTCCACCTGTTTTGGTTGAGTTTTATATTCCAGCATATATTTTTAATGAAATTATTTTCTGTAAAATGTGTTCTCTGCAAATTCAATATGTTTTTCTTTTTTCTTTCTCTTTTTTGTTGTTTTTTTGTTTTTGTTTTTGTTTTTGTTTTTCAAAAGCAGAGATGCTTACCGTTGGGTTGTCAGCCATTCCCTCCCTCAACTGTTTTCATCAGTCCCCTTTCCCTCTCTGTCAGGTCTGCAGCAAACAATAATGCCCCAGCAAGTTTTGTGTCGTAAAAGAATTCATTGCATTAGAATAATTAAGAATACTTTTTCTTTTATTACTTAACATTAAATACAGAGCTTAGTTTCCATTACCTTGGAACATAGGAAAATATGAAATAAATGGAAGAAATGACAAGTTCAAAGAAAGGGAATATTAATGTGGACAATAGTAGGTAGTGTTCTCGAATCCTGACACTCAAGTTTTATGTAGACCAGAGGGGGTCCATGTTAAGGGAAACATGAGCAAAAGCTTTGGATCAAAATGAACCTGAGTAATGCTTTCAGAGTGGCAAGTTGCCACTTCATGAGAATGTTAACCTGAGGGCCTCCCACAGTGCTTTATCAGAGTACATGTTCTAGGAAAGTTCCATTGGTGGAGATGTTTAGGAAGAGACTAAAAGGTAAGGAGATTAACTTCTTGCTTAGGCCTGGATCACTAAAGGATGCTACAGATGAAGTGATAAAGACCAAAATCTAGGTCATAGATTGAACTGACAATACAGGGAATAAAAGATTTCACAGTCTCCAAGGTGACTTCACTTTCTTCTAAGTGAGGAATTGAAAGAAGGATAAATACCTAATAAAGGATTTGTTTTTAATTTGAGAGAATATTAGAGGCGGTGGTTTATTTTTAGTCATGGGAAATTAAGTCTGAGGTCTGAACTGTAGACAGTGCAAACAGAACTGTGCAAGTCATTCATTTGGGAGAGCAGATGCAGTCGCAGGTGGAATCACAGACAGCGGTGTTAATGTAGCCTCTGCGATAGTTGTCAAGCTTCCTTTTTTTTTTAAGCATAATTTATTGTCACCTTCGCTAACATACATGTATACAGTGTGCTCTTGGCATCAGGAGTAGATTCTCGTGGTTCATCACTTACACACAACATCCAGTGCTCATCCCAACAAGTTACCTCCTCAGTGCCCATCGTCCATTGTCCCCTGCCCCCACCTCCCCATCCACCCTCAGTTTGTTCTCTGTATTTGAGAGTCTCTTATGGTTTGCCTCCCTCTCTATTTGTAACTTTTTTTTTTCTCTGCTGTTCCCCCATGGTCTTAAGTGTCTCAAATTCCACATATGAGTGAAAACAGGTCTCTGTCTCTGCCTGACTTACTTCACTTAGCATAATACCCTCTGGTTTCACCCACATTGTTACAAGGTTCCTTTCTTCTTTGTTCCAAAGTAAATGAAGGAGGTTTCTTTTGTTGAATGCTTGTTTCTTAGAGAATATATGATTGCATTTTAGCGACTGTGACTCCCATAGTGGCTAGGAAAATCCCAACAGGAGCAAAGGGAAAAGAAAAGCAGTGAGAGAGGGAAGATTGAGAGACTAAGATAGATTGATTTCATTATATCCTTTTTGTTTTCCAGAAACTGTGGAGGTCTCACAGTACAGCCTTCTTTTTAATAAACTTCTAGATGCCTGTATAGAAAGCAACAGTCTTGGTATGTCATCCTCCGTGGCAGACTTCATGATTTCAAAGAACATCCCTATTGAGCTCTCCTTTCTTAGAAGATTAATTACTTCTTTGGGAAGGAGTTGTTTATGGCTCAAAGCCAGAACCCACTACAAAAGTAAGTTGCATTTTAAAAATTTATATTTGAAATCTTGGTTTTGACTTCAATTTTCTAACCAAGAATCCTTGCATAGTGTCTAGGACTAGGCATTTAAATATGTAAAAGGAGCAGTGATACAGTCAAAGATAATGGTGTACACAGATTTGTTCTCTCTTTTGAAACGTGTTCTTTCTCATTTCTAATTACTATATCTTTATTTCTTTGCACATTAGTATGCCCACTTGAGGGTGCACAAAGGAAATAAATGAAAGAATTTCAACCAGTTGACATAGCTTATAAATATATAGGAGTAAAACAATAGGAATATTTATATATTTTATTCATCCCTGCTATATCCCTGATCTTTATAATTCATAAGTTAGAATATTTTATAGCAGGCCACATAAGAAGTACAGAGGCTGCCATTACAATGAACACGACACATAGGTTTTTCACGTGGTTCCTAGTAAAAGAACTTTATTAATCTATTTACAGTTGTTTCTCTCTAACCAATAAGCCTGGAAAACTAATGCTTTCTCTAGTCCCAGCCACCTCATAGGTGTTTGAATTGGAAGTAATTTCATGTAGAGTCGAGATCCAGAAAACACTTCTGCCTTCCTGCAGTAGTTTGTCCTAAATTTATGTTTCTATCACTGCCACGTATCTAACAAACATTTGCGTGCCTACTGTATGTCACCGCTGTGCCAGATTTGCCAAACATCTCAGCCACCCCTGCCAGCCCAGAAACCTCTCTGAACTTGGGAGTGTTTTTCACACTACCAGCTGTTTAGCAGGTGGTAACTTTTCCCCAATGAAATAGGAAAGAAAACATTAGCATACATTACAGGTGGTAAGATGAAGTATTATTTGATAAAATTTTCATTTCAGGTACATATATCCATATATGTGTACCAGGTCAATATGTAAAATGTACCTCTTATTGTAGGTTACAATCAAAAGAAGTTTTAAAAGCAGAATTTTTTTAGGGGCACCTGGGTGGCTCAGTGAGTTAAGCGCCTGACTCTTGATTCAGCTTGGGTCATGATCTTACGTTTTGAGGGACCAAGCCCCACATTGGTCTCTGTGCTGACAGCATGGAGCCTGCTTGGGATTCTCTCTCTCTCTCTCTCTCTCTCTCTCTCTCTCTCTCTGCCTCCCCCCTCTCAAAATAAATAAATAAAATTAAGAACAATTTTTTAAAATGATCAGAAATTCAGAGGAAACGTAGATTTGTTTATTCATAAACACCTCATTTCAATTTATGTTTCAACTCCTTATACTATTTCCCTGCAGATTACTAGAAATCACACACACAAAGTATATATATATACTACTTTTTGCTGTAACTTCTTTATTTTAGTTTTTAGAATCAGTGGGGTTATTTATTTTCAAAATAATTGTGCGATTTGGGGACCATGCCATAGAAGGTGTTTCTCTGCCATAGGAACAAAACATAAACTTGGAAACACTTAGATGAGATTTCTATGAATCTCTGTTTCTTAGTTGGAAATAAAATTCTGTTTTAAAGCAGCTAAACTTAATCATTTGTAAAAATTTTTATTAACAATTTTATTGAGATATAATTCAAATTCAGTTCACCCATTTACAGTGGTCTTAAGGTATTCATAGTTCGTGCAATCACACTGAGTGTGGAGCCTGCTTGGGATTCTCTCTCTCTCTCTCTCTCTCTCTCTCTCTCTCTCTCT